GCTCTAAATAGACTCTGTCATGTGTTTCAAGACCACCTAGTCTTTTGCTGTACACTCCAATAGCACATTAATAAAACGTGTTATTGTAAATTGCTTAGTGGTATCAGATTTATGGATATGCCTTTAAATGTCAATAGGTTCATGATGTTAACAAGACTTAGGGCTGGAAGGAGTTGTCTAGTATGTCCTCCTGTTGTGGCATACCAAACAGTCATGCTCATACTCTGGGAGTTCATAGTGCTCTGTGCTGGCATGTATTGAACACAGTTATCCCAGGGACATGCAGGTTCTACCAGTATCTACCCACTGCCCTGCAGTGACAAGGAATTTATTTCTGCATGTCATGCTGAGCCCATTGTGTGAACTGAGGTTTTTGGGTGCAGGTGAATGCAGACACCTTCTGTCATTCGCATCCACTTCTTCCCTTCCCCAGGGAAACCGACAGGACAGCCCACCTCCTCCTCCTTATGTAAGCTGACCAAGATAAAATATTCCTCGCAATTACAAATTGGGCAATTACTGTGAATTTGAGCATATGAGTAAGACATACCAGACAGGGATCTAAGGAAAAGGATTGCTTTCATCATCTGGTATTGCTTCCTTAGCTATGACCTGTCTCAAAGACTAATGGGAAAAGTAGGAAGTAGCCAAAAAATCCTGAATAAACTGGCCAGTTAGATCAATATGAAGAATGGTTTCTGGTGTTTTCTGGCAGATAGCTAAAGCATGAGGTTTGCTTTATACACATTGTGTTGGTCAGTCTGTTGACTTCAGGCAGAGGTAACAAATGGGAAGATTCATATTTCAGACTTTTTTTGTTTGCAGTTATAATATGCGAAGGCATGCTGTGTTGAAAGACCATAAAAAGTGATTGCGTGTGTTTTTTTCACCCCATTCTTCTTGTGCTGTGCTTTGCATCTCACTGATGCCAAGGAGCAGTGTTGCACTCAACACAGGATGCAGACATCATTCCTGCTAGAACTTCTTTATAAACTGTGGTGCTAGCAGTGAAGCAGCTGTGCTTGCTGGAAATGCATGAATGTGTGAATTGGTGTGTTAAACAGATTAGATGACAGAAATTCAGATGAAATAATCTGTTATTTAAGGACTATGACAGAAAGGTGTCATTATTATTTGAGAGTTGATAACTAACATTAGAATACCTTTGGAAAACATTAGCCAAGAGCACCTGCAGAACCAAAGGATGCATTAACTTTTTAATTGTATTACTGTAATTGTTAAATGCTACAGAATAACAATAGCACCTGCATTGTTAATGGTGTTATTGTGCTACCATTATTTAAGGGGAAAAAGCAAGAATAGTCAACGTCTGCAGAAGAGAGGGGCTTTGAAAGTATACAACATTAATAACTGTGCTATGGATGTAATCCCTTTCTGGTTTGTGTTTCAAGGAAATAAACATTTCTCTGTGTTTTTCTGGTTTTGCTTGGTTTTAACCAGGTGTCTGAGATAACTAAACCAGAGACCTCAGTGAAAACATAAATGAATAATTTGAGCCATGTTTTCCTACATCTTGTTTTCTAAATTTGCTCTTGAAGTAGCTAAGAGGAGACCAGGGTTTGCATTTGCAAAGGAATAGAATACTTGCAGCCCTTCAGTGCTATGAGTGACTTTTTGTTTGGAATTCTTTCCAGATGAGACATTTTCTTTACAAAAGTTGTGTCAGTATAGGCGACATCTGACAGTATTTTCAGGCTAATCTACATTTAGCTTTTGTATTAACAATAAGCTTTCTTGCTAACTTTCGCTTCCTTCCTCAACTCTGTGTTGGTGAGATGAAATCTCAGCAGTGCAAAATTAAGAGCAAACAGATGTTTTGATGAAACTTGAAGTCAGCTTTCACTTGCAAGGCTTCATCTAATTTAATCACTGGAGTTTTTTTGCCCCCAGGTGCATGAAGCAGATCCCATTTATTCCTGCAAAAACTGTAAGACTGCAACAGTGAGAAAAATTGATCTTGTACTCTGGATTCATCTCTTTTTGTCAGTGAATCGCAATTTTCTAAACTTCTGTCTGGATCAGGCAAAATGTATTGAAAAAGAATTTTCATAGTCAAGCTACAGCTTAGTCTCAGTTTAGAATAATTTACCATTAATATAGTGTGAGGTTGTTGCATGAGTCAGCTCAGGAAAGATTTATCATGAACATGAAATAGCCCTTGGATGCAGCTGTTTATGTTTAAATGCCTGTACCCGACTGCCAGTCCCACTCAGTTGGGTTTTAGACAAGACAAGCTCCTGGTATTTGTCTTCCTGCAGGTAAAATACACTAAGTGCTCAACTGTTGTGTTTCATGAAGTAGTGTTTAGTAGTGGCAGACTATTTTCTTTGCACTTGGAGGAAAAAACAAACAAAAAGTGCCTTTATTGTGGACTTCTGTTAACTTCAGCAGTAAAATTTGCCTTATGGAAGTAGTGTGTAAAATTTGTTTTGCAGTCTTGATGGAAACATACCTTCATCTCCAGAGCTAGGCCTTTTGCTAGTTTACAGAAATAGTTCTAGTGCCATCCTGATTCACTGGAGTTGGCTGTCCTCCTTGAGGTGTTCATGCTGTCTCCTAGTCTTTGTGCCTTCAATGAAAAGTTAACAGTTTTATAGAACAACAAATAGTACTTTGGTGCAAGCTACATGTGCACGTGTTTACATAGCTAACTGAATGAAGCACCAAGCTAAAAGGGTGGTATGCACAAAGTTAAGCCCTTCGAACATCCTTTAAGGCTTAACTAAAACTGTAACATGTCTGTATAGAATCACAGTTTACCTGTCAAAATTTTATTTCTCCATCAGAAACAGAACTTTCCAGCAACTGAAGAGGTATTATGTACAAAAGATATTTTTTATCAAAGGATTTTTAAGGGAAGAGATCTTGGTTTGAGAGGTGCTGAGCAATGGGGATAGGGAGCTGCCTGTTCCTGACAGCTAAGGAGAGAGCCAGGAACTTGTAGTACCCCATACTCTGCTGCTCTCTTGTTGAATTTCTGTTCTTAAATGATTGTCTCCAAACTCAATAATGAAAAAGCATGGCAGCTTCATCAGATAGTTTCAGTGTCAGAGTTGTTTGACTGTTAGACAGTTGATTCTTGCACTGTATTTTTTACGTTTGAGAATATCTTCGAAAATTGATGTTTTGTGTGTGTTCTGAGTAAAATTTGAAAAACCTGTCTGACCATGCTCTTCAGAGTTGGGCACCTAACTGACCTTTGTGCCCTTGAAATCTGTGCACTCACCCATTGTGGTTAGTGAGATGGAATTTAACTCCTTTGATTGAATTCTTTCTCTTTCTTTTGGGAGGTAGGAGAATTTACAAATTCCTTTCAAAAATTGCTTACAGGATGCTTGCTGGGAACTCAAGTTAACCTTTAGAATCCAGGTGTCTGCTATGTTTTAAAAATTCAAATGCATAGCTCTGTGTATCCTTTCAGGTTGTTTTCAGTGACTATAAATAAAGGCTGCAGATAATATATAACATAAATTTAAAATACCTTCCTGTAGAAATATGTAGGAGATATAAGATATGTAACTGAGAATTTAATTACTGTTTTTTACTGTGTGGTTGAAAAAACAATCAAGTTCACCAAATCCAGTTCAGCAGTTTCCCTAACTAGAAGATTTCCCTCTGTCTCTACAACCTTGCACCTGTGAACTCGCTAATGTCTCCCAAAATTAAGCCAAAGACCCAAAAAGCAGCAGCTTCATCTGGTCCTGTCTTTTGGCTAGTCTGTAGAAGTTGTCTACCCGCAGAGCAAGTCCAGAGCTCCAGCAAAAATAAAATCATGTGGTTGACTTTTTTATATTGTGTACAGGAAAAGTAGGTGGGTGTGATAAAATATTCTAGCTCTAAAATTACTACAAATAAGTATTTGCACTTTGCTTTTCTTGTCTTTTGTAGAGCATTGAAAAAAATGCTACTCCTCATGGAACAATTCATAGTATATATTTATTAAAATTGTAATCTTGGAATAAGAGCGAGTGCCTAAAAAAGGAATATAATTAAATTATAACCAAAATCCCACATAGCAGCACTGATTTTCAACTGTCTATATAGAGTGTTGTGTAGTGGTTTAAGTGATCCTAGTTTTAATACTGAACTTAATACACTTTTCTACAATTTCTAGGTTTGGCTTTCACCTTTAATATAAACTATAGAGTATATCACTTTAAAATTCAGGTGCAGATGTGATAGAACCAAATTCTTTTGCATTAACCTTTGTGTTACAAGAATGTATTTGTTCTGAAAAGCCTTGGCAATTAATTTTCTCCATTAAAGGAGAAGAGCCTGCTTTTCATTCAGCAGTTTGTTATTCTTTTACTGCAGAAACAGTCTGTTTGCCACGGACAGGGAAAATGTGACTTAAAGAAGATGGCTCAATCCTATTTGGCAGGATCGGAGGGGGTGGCGAACGCTGGACATTTGCCAAGAGAAACTGTGTTAAGCATAGCATCTGTTTTGCATGGTGGGCTGGTGTAGCAAGGGGGACCACTGCATCCTCTGAGGTGCAACGTGTGTGTGTGTGTGTGTGTGTGTGTGTGTGTGTGTGTGTGTGTGTGTGTGTGTGTGTGTGTGTGTGTGTGTGTGTGTGTGAGAGAGAGAGAGAGAGAGTGAGTGTGTGCCGGTGTCGGCGCAGTGACGGCTGCTGCGGAATTCCGGGGATGAATTACTTGGTGTGCACAACTGAAGGTGCCGTTCGCTCCGGTAAAGCCGTGCGGCGTGCACTGCCCCTAACCTGAGAGAGGCAGCCTGCGGCTCTTCGTGACAGCTAGAGGTGGAAGGACCCCAACTTGTGGTCCTCCCCCCGCCCCAAGAGATCCTTAGTCTGTTCCTTTATAGTGGTTCATCTGGCTCTCTGTCATCGCCAGAATGCTGCCTGTGAATGTGTGTCATGATTACAATAGAGTGTGGTAACACATAACAGCAATGAAAGCCCAGCGGGAAAGGCTACAAATTCCGGGGCTGACCTTGGAGTAAGTATTGTCTGTCTTTAATATTTTAATGGTTTCTGCATGATGCTGGCTTTTGTGCAGTCAGGAGCTTTTAACATACGTTTGTGCTGACAGCCTGGGAGCACTGCAGCTCCAGGTTGAAGGAGCACGCTTTCAATGCATTGCAGTTGGTTTCAGCAAATGTGTGAGCCTGGAGCCAGGATATTGCAGTGTGTTTGGAAAGAAAGCGTTTCTGCATATTTAAAGTTACTGAATCTCAGTGTATGAAGCATTGTAGGGGAAGAATCTGTCAGTAGGCCATGGTGACTGTCTTTCTCTTCAGCTCTCTGTTGCTGTTTGTTTATCCTGGTGCTGCCTTTTAGAAAGGCCTCTTTCAGTGCTGAATAATGGAGAGCACTGTGAGAGATTAAAGCATTATAAAAATTCTATTTGTGAAAATTCATCAGGAACAAGACATATTTTACATACGTAACTGCACTAATGACCTGTATTGACATTCTGGAGGATTCCTGATAGTTTCTTCAGTAAGTATGTTTACCTAATTTAGCAGTGTGTTTACTTATACTCGCTTAAAACTGATTAACTAATTTGTGTGCTTTCAGCTATTTAGAGAGTAGCTAAATGAAAACGTGTAATTTTAATGTATAGTGATATTAAGTGTAGTCTTATTCATAAATGCCAGCATACATTTACCCCATGTTAGTCAAAGCCAAATATTTATTTCTATGCATACATACCTGTAGTCTACACTGACATGTCAGGCATGTATGTATGCATGTTACAGCCACCATGAGAACTTGCTAATTTAATCTAGGTAAATAGATATGGCTACATCAGATCATTTAGTATTCCCTGGGACTGCCCCATTCTTGCTGGATTAGAAAAACCCAACAAAATCCTGAATGCTGCAGATGCCTACAGTAAAGTTATTTAGCTATGAAAGGTATTATCTCTGGCATCTGCCATGTGTTAAAGATGGGGCTGTAGGTAAGTGTGCAGCATAGCAAATAATTTATTCTAATAACCACTTGAAATGACAGAGCACTTTATTCCAAGGAACAAATGTAGATGTCATACTGGTTCCCCAGAACTACATTTGTGAAATGTCTCAGGAATTCTGCATTTTAGTCAGGCATCTTCTGGTAAGAGTAGTGTGTGTTAGCTGTGGCAGGCTAAGCTCTAGATATTTTTCTGAAAAACACCAAAAAAACAGCATTACTAATTTCTCAAGAGTTTTGGAGGAGGGGTCTTATCAAAGATCTCATTAAAATGTGTTCCATGAATAATTGATAATTATACTTCTTTTGAGATGTGGCAATTTAAATAAATTTAAATCAGTCTTCACCGAATTATGTAATCATCATGTGAGAAGAACATCACTAGCTGCAAAGGACGAAAAACGATTTGTGTTTTTCAGTGTATGTTTATGGTTTTATAATATGAGGTAATTGTTTACTGCTTCCTCCTTTTTCACAGTAACCTAACATAATTCCACTTGCTTTGCCATATTTTCAAAATATTTAATACTGATAACATTAATAGTTATATTTTAAATTCAATATTGATAATTGTTTTTGCTAAAATGTTGTCTGGATATATTTACTTTTTCCATATATTTGAATGATTTTTATCGTCATACTTGCTACTTTTTGAACTTGATTTACCTGTAGAGAAAAGAAAATACCATATTTTGGTTGCTGACACATAATGATTTCCACAGAATCATTCTCTCATGATTTACCAGAGTTGAGTCAATGCAGACTTAAATCATGTCTCCCAAACTGTTAATTGCAATCATTTCAAGAAGAGCATACCTAGGGGGGAAAAAAATCCAATTTATTCCTCGTATCCTGAGTCTCATGAATTTTCTCTCAGTAAAGTTTAAATGTTGGGACTAGAATTATGTTGTCTCCCTGAGAAACAAGTACAGTCTGTCTACTTTATATTCATTACTTGCAAAAAGCTCCTTGAAAGAATATTAAATCCAAAATAAAGCATTCCACATTTAGTAAGTGTAAGAAGTAGTGTTGTCATGCACTGTGATAATTTGTTTTAACAGGTTTTCTTAGGTCTTAAAAAAGCAAAGCTGAAGAGCGAGTTCTATAGAAGAACTGGATTGACACACCAGTATCATCGCTTGGTGGGAATTTTTAGATCCATAGTACTAGCACATCTGATATTGGATGCCCTCAGAATCTGTGGCATTACTGAGACTCTGATGTGTTGCAGTAGTGAAAATGAGGAAGAATATGAGTAGCTACTAGCCAGTGTAGGACTTCTGCTTGCTGTGTGTGAGCCATCCAGTAGAGGAAGGGTGATGCCCTTTTCCACAGAATATTTCTAGGATTTGTTCACAGCAAGGTGAATCAGGGGTCTCAGTAGCTGGGCTTTGAAGTTAATATATTCTTCTTATTCAATGCCAGAGGTTTTTTTTCCTCTTCTTTTAAGCATGCTGGCTTTAGTAGATTCTTTGTCCCCAGCTGTTACTCCATAGCAGTCCTGTTACTCTCCCTTTGCTGCAGCCTTGTGCTTTTGGCCACTTGGTGCCATTTCTCCTCTCCCTTCACTTGGACTATCTTTGGATCAGTTCCAGCTTCCCCTCACTGCTTCTGAGGGTCCAGTGGACCTTCATTGGACCATTGGAGGTCCTGATGGAGACTGGTGGTGGTCTGTGTGGCCTGCCTCTACATCTTACATTGCAGTGTCCCCAGGAATCACAGTGCACGCATTGACTGTGCAGCACTGGATCATTTCCCAGCCTACAGTCAGTCAGGGCCCGAACTGACTGGTGGACAAAAGGGGGACAACGGGGGACAAACTACCAGCTCTGCTGCAGCAGAGATGAAGAGATAGAGCAGTTAAAGTGTACAAGTACAAAAGCAATTTTTAAAAGTCTGTACTGTACTGATCATAAAGAAACAACAATCCTTCCAGCACATGTTGTTGCTGGTCAGTGCAATGCAACACAACAGAGCGCCCCAGTGGAACAGCCAAAATCTGCCTGTTGAGCCACACCTTTTTCTGCAGGCCTGCGTGGACTGGCTGGTATGAACCTGGGTTCAGTTAGCCATTTTCAGAGTGATAGACTGAGCCTTAATGGATCTTGTCAGCTCAGAAGTACTGTTGTGCTAGCACAGGTAGTCTGCAGTTAAAACCAAACGAGCTTGCACTCAACTGCTGGTGCTCTTCTGTGTGCCTTCTTCAGAGATTATGAAAGCACAGCCAGCAGCCAGAGAAATTTACTCATACACAGTAGCCTTGTCAGAAATTATCTGCGGGCCCATTCTTGTTCAGTGTGCAGGTCCCTGCCAAACTTTGTGCTTCTCCAAGGCATCTCAGAAAGGAAAACGTTGCAAAAATGTACAATGTTGAAATTGGATTCCTTATCTGTTCTGGAAGCAGTAGTACTCTTCCTGCTGAAATGTTCAGAAAAAACCTGGATCAGGTGTCCACCTTGAAAGATTTTGAAGGCAGCATGTTAATATCTGGCAAACTGTTACACAATTGAGAAAGTGGACCTTAGCTGTGCTTAGCATATTTGCCATCTGCATCTCCACTGGGGACAGGACAGGAATGCTAGCATTGGCTGGCTGCAAGGGTCTGGTACAAAGCAGAATAAATCTTTATGAAGATGAGCTGAAAAAGTTCCCCATAAGCTTCTGCCTTCGCTCAGTCTGCACAGAGTGGTTTTTTGACAAATTGCAGTGAGAGGCATGCTATAAGCATGTTTTTTAAAAGAAGCTTTCTTGTGAGTTTTATGGAGAACTGTGCATAGGATAGGATGAGTATATTTTGAAAGAGCATCTCTGAAATCTGGCAGTGGCCAGGTGTTTTTTTGAGAAACCTTTTGAACGGAGATGTACTTGAGGCAACTTCTTGAAGTCACCTTTGAAGTCAAATGCTGAAGTAAGAATTTTATGGATTAATTGTTTCTATCCATGTTTGATTACCTAGAAGAAGAACTTGGTGTTTGTGAGGAAACATTTCATAAAAAAATTGAGGCTAACTGGAGCACTTCTAATTTTCAGTATATGTGCAGATTTTAGGCTCTCAAACTGGAAAATGTTATTATAATTTTTATATTACTGGTGGAAGTTTATAATCAGTTCTAGTTATCCTTATGTTTTAATAAATCTGATTTGCATATAAAAAACTTAAACCACAGCCCCCCAAGATTCTTTAAGAGGAAAAGAGCACCCAATTTGCATATTCTGTTCCGTTAGATGTCTAAAAATAAAGTTACCATGTTTCACCACTCTTGAGTCTTTGGACACAAGTATTGTTCCTGGAAGAAGTCTAAGGTAGTCAAGCATATACATCAACACCAGTTCTCATATTTATTTTCATTTAAATCAATTTTCATTTTAAGTCGAAACCTGTGTGGCTGCTGTCAATCACTTCATTCAGGAGAATGGTCATGTTTTGGTTCTAACCAAAACTCCTTTCATAACTCCTACACTAAAACATGCAACTCTTGCTAAACCTTCTGTTCACTAGAGATGACATTATTTTAACTTGCAGTCTCACCCCAAGGAGCCTGAGCCCAACCCCAACAAGCCCCTGCAGTCCATGCAGTCCTCTGTTCGCTTTTCATTTTTGGAGGTAAGCAAGTAAACTTCCATTGTTGATGTTTTCTTCTGCATCCAAAACATAATGATCAAAACATATTGCAAAAGGAAAATTGAAAAAAAAAATTAAGTATGTCTCTGCAATCCAAAATACATTTTACTTGACCAGCTGCTCTTCTGAAGGTAAGTATTTTATGGAAAAAAAACTCAGGATAATACGTATTTTGACACCTAGTACACAGACTCAAGTTATTAATGTATAATTCTGTGTTGCTTTGACTGCTTAGAAGTGTATATGAAATTTTATAGTTTGCTTCTTGTGATCATGCCTCAGATTGTATTCTGTTATGTGGGAAGTTTAAGGTGCATTCAGAAATGAGGGTGATTCATGAAACACATGGTTATTTTTTGCTTAGTGAGGGCTAGTGGTGTGCTTAGTGAGTTGAGTGATTCAGAAGAACACAAAGTCATATTCATTAAATTGGTAGGACTGTTTTGTCCTCAGGACTAGGAGGATTTTAAGCTTCACTTCTGTTTCAACAGTGTTCTAGATAAACCCCAACAGCCACATACAACATCTTTTCACTCTCTTCTTTCTTCAACTGCCATGTTTGTTCATAAGAATAGGTTTTTTTTTTGCACTTGTCAGAAACGTAGTTATCTTCATGAGATCAGAAAATTATTAGTGATAAAAAATACTTGATAATCCTTCCTGTTATGTAAAATCATAATAAATAATAATAATGGATGTTTCTGATGCAGAAAAACTTTTTCCTTCCTTCTTTTTAGAGCAGGAAGTTGCTAGTCAAGAATCTCATCGGTGTCAGTCATTGAGATTCTGCTCTGTAGGGAGGGAGTTTTTAAAGCAAGATACTAATAAGTCATCAATGCCTCATGGATTTAAAGAAAAACAAAAACAAACCACTTCTAATTTTGGTCAGAAGTCTTACTTGTTACTGTAAGAATAAGAACTACCACCTTGTTAAATTACATAATAAAGTACATTTGTGCTTTTTTGGTGCAACCTCAAACATAATGTGGCAGAGATGAGGGGTGCTTGGATGTGTTAACCTGCTTCAGTATACTTTAAAGTTAATACCAATTTAATAGGTGAGAGATCTTCTATCAAGGGTTCACATGACACTGAAAAATGGAGCAATAACCTCGACTTGATACATGTTTCTGAAGAAATATGGTAGATTTTTAGATATTCTGTTTTGTTAGGGAAGATATGGTATGAGAATCCCTTATTTGTACAATTTTCAGTATGATTTAACAAATACACTTTTTTTCTCAGTGAAAACACTTTCATTTTTTGTATTTGTTTGATAATTTATCAGCAAAATCATCAGCTGGTATAGAATGCTTAGTGAAATTAGCATTTTTTAATTGGGTCTTTATTTTATACAGCCAGAAAAATCACTTCCCTTTGTAGTGAAGGATGTGCTGTTTTTCAAAATTTCAGTTTTGTGGAATCAAATAGCTGTATATGAATTTTATATTTTGTATGACCTGGTTGATCTGCTGAATGGCCTCTGCAGATGTGTGGATGTGCTGCTGTGCAAACTGTGTGATAGACAAAGCCTTCAGTGTTTTTAGAGGTCAGACCTTGTTTACCCCTCTGGGTGGCAGAGACACCCAACAGTGCTAAGTTTGGGCTTTTCAGATACTTTTTGAAGAAATAGAGTGGAAATTATTGATGTGAAGCCTCATCCCCTGATAGAGCTGGAAAATGTCTAAGTTCATAGGGATTTTTCTTAGGTTCCTTTGTCCTGAAATTTATGTAAGGGTAGCAGAATGGTTACTTTTTCTCTGGAGTGGAAATGTTTAAAGTCTGATTAAATCTGAAATAGAGTGCTGTATTTATCTCTAGCTGCTGGTGTATTGAACATCAAATGTTTCAGTTATTAGTTACTCTTAAGCTTGACCTAGCGTAGTGGAAAGATGAAATGTGTTGGTTTTTAGGCTATATAAATAATTAGCATTTCCATTAATTCGGAATACTCACATATGTGGGAGGAGAAGAATTTTCAGTGACACCGCTTCTGCTTTTATTCGGAAATGCTAACATGTGGGCCTTACCAGAATGAACGGATAGCGTTTTCCTGTGGTATTTCTCTCTCTCTTTCTCTCTCTCTAACATGCTGGCTCATCTCCCTCATGGCCTTTGACTTGCACAGCTGCTCTTTGGGTGGTTGTTTTTTGTTGAAGTTCTGCTTATAGCATTTTTCACATATAGTAGTAGTCTAAAGGGAGCCTCTTGCCAGCTAGATGATGAAGATCTTTTTGAAATAAACAGTAACATCCTGTGAATGGAAATACCTGCCTGCTGGTACAGTGTGAAGCTATCCATTCTATACTTCTGAGAGAGGGTGGGGAATGAAGTGGTATTTCAGAACTCAGGAAGATAAGCACACATTTACCATTATATTTTTATCTTTGGTGTGAGTCACCTGAAAACTTCCAACTGCTGACTGGGGGAAAAGTATATGCAGTTTTATTACTAATAATTATAATCAGCAGATTTGCAAAGAAAGAGAGAAGATGATGTAAATAACTGAGCACAGCTACTGAGATATTTAAGATCCTCATACTTCTAACATAACTTTTATTTTTTTTTCTTTGCTGTGGATAATTTGAAGTGAAGGAGTGGAGTGGGGAAAGTATTTGGAAAAGATCAGGAGGAAACACTAAGTGCTACAAGTTGTAGTGGCTTCTAGCAAAAGTGATAAAGAAAATGGAAATAGTAAATTAAAAAATACATGACAGCATGTGTTTGAACTTGAAGAGTACAGAATGGTGATTGTCAGCAAAAAATCTTTTTATTCAACCTTTTGCTTTATTGATGTCACTGATACTGACACTGATACTGATACTGGTGGGGAAAAAAAATCTCCAAGGCGGTTGATAGAAAGCTCTTAGTTTCTACAAAAAAGAAAATATTTTAGTGAATTTTCCAGAAAGTCTTTACTCAGGAGCATGAGCATTGCATGAGTGTCAGGCACTGTACAGACACAAATGTTACTACCTGGCTAAGACTGGTGAAGAGGTAGACAATTCATTCTGAAGCTTTGGAAAAGAAAGCATCAAGTAAAAAAACTCATGTACTTATTTTTTTTATGGTTAAATTTTTTATAGACTCTTTAATGAGGAAAATATAGTTCACCTGACTGTATCTACAGCTGAGTTGGCAGGAAGGCAAATAAGGATTATTATCTAAACCTTTCAGTAATGTAATCTGCTCTTTTGGGAAGCTGCTGAGGATGCTACTGTAAACACTGCATTTTAGATAGGGTCATGTTGTCAAATGATTACGTATGTGTTACCAAGGGCAGCAATTAGAAGTGTAACTGGCATGGATTAAACCTCATCCTTTGGCATTGAATTGAAAGAAAAACAAATGTCAGTGTCACAGATAGCTTGGCCACTTTTTATTATTTAGTATTAAGTTTTTATATCTGGAAATTGCCAAAAAATGTTGAGACTTGCATTTTCCTTAAATGTAACCTGAATCTATAGCTAACCTGAATGAGTAATTATTACAAAGGGAGAATTAGTCTAAATTCATATATCAAATTGTTGAATACAGTCAGTGTAAAAGTCAGTGTGCTCCTATTCTTCCATTTTCTCTGTCTGCGTCCCCCCTTTTTTCCCTGTGACATTCTGCATCTCAGAATCAGGTAAAAGACAGAAGGCTTAAAATAACTACTTTCTAACAACTATATTGGTCTGTATTATGAAATCATCAATTAAATGGATGGCTTCTGTTGAAAAATGAACAGTAAAGTTTCTAGTTCTAGTGATTTTTTTTTATTGTTCTGAAAGGGAGCATGTTTACAGATCTTTTAAGTGTTTTCTGGCTCAGTGGGATGTTCTGTGAACATGTGGAGCATATACACCCATATGAAAGATGTAATGAAGAGTAGGAATTTAATTTGCTGTTTGGTTTTTACCTTACTGAAGGCAGTAGTTTGTTTCTAAACTTACCAATATTCCTATGCTTTGGGAGGAAGGTGGTGTGGACAGTGTTGGTGTGTTCTGCTGCCTGTGAGGGCTGGGCTGGGTCTCTTGGGATGGCCATGGGGCCCCAGGGACTTGCACAGTTAGACTGATGACCAGAGGCCCTGCCCATGCTGTCCTTGACCCTGTTGCCATGATCACGTTCCTGCCCACTTCTCCGTTTGCTTGGCTGCACCAAGCTGAATCTCCACTATGAGTGAGAGCAAGCCTTTCTTGGGAGCGAGGAGGGAGTGGGGGAGCGCTTCTCAGCATGGGGGACACAGAGGCAGTGTGTACTTGGACTGGCACTCTCTGCCTTCGGCAGCACTAGCTGCCCACTCAGACCTGAGCAACAGCCAAGGTGACAGCTGTTACACATGCTGGTTAATTATTAAATCTGGTGTAATCATACAATCTAGGTAGACAGGGAATACTGCAGAAAAAGAAGGACTAGTTAATACTCACTCCCTGATGAGGAGGGACTTGAGCAGACACATGACATGATTCTCTCAAGGTAGCACAAAATCATCATAGAGGACTTAGGTATTAAATTTGGACTCTTCTGGTCTCAGAATAGTTTTACTTCTATGTAATTTTACTATGGAACTGCTTCTTCATGGATTCATAAGGTTTTACAAAAGACATGTGAGGAGTACACATCAGAGGATGCCTCCTTTCCCTCCTTTCCTCAGTGACATAGCTGCCATACCCAGGGATTCACAAGCAGATATTTTTCCTTAAAATTTATTTCCACCTTTGTTTTTTGATACCAGTACAAAGTGCAATGACCATAAGGTTATGCTGAAAGATGAAGCTGTTGATTTGTTACCTGGAAAGGGGAAGTTCATGGGAATGGCTTCTGTGGATGAATTAAAGAATCAATTTTTTTCTCAATTTTTTCTTTAAAATGAGGAAAACTTGCTGTTTCATCTTTCAAGGTAATCTGATTAGTATTCATGAACATTAGCCATGAAGCACGAGTTCCTCAAGATGAAATAAATTAATCTTTGGCTTTCTCCTCCAGAAGTAGTCAGTCTGCTCTGAAGTTATTTTTATGTCCTTGCAGTTCTCTTAACTCTTTTTAGGACTACATATTTAACCTTCTAAAACACTTTCCTCTGCTCTTACCCATATTAAAACTTATGATGGGTCAAAGGGAGAGCTGTTTCCATTGGAACTTGAAAATGGAAAGTGAAAAACAATTTCATTGCATGTATAAGTTTTTCGTGATGTAGAAGTCAGTTTTGAGGATTGGTTAAATAAAAGCAGCCCCTTACTTAGCAGATGTGATCTCTTGCGTGCTCAAGTGTGCTATTCTAGCTTCAGCTTTTGAAATATTTTAGAAAGCTTTCTGAGCTCTCTGGATTCAATGCAGAGGAGAAGATTTTTGCTTGTGAGTCATCAGTCTGGTCCCTTGGAGGATCTTGATTATTAATTTTCATCCAAGAGGGATATAGGGATATGAATTTCTGATTCCCTGTGCATTTTTTTGAGCTGATGATAAAGAAGGTGAGGTTTTAATTGCCCCCCACTGATGCAAAGTCAGGGAGGGTAAAGGTGTATTGTTATGATGATGTTTTGTAAAGCTTCTGGAGTATAAAACTTGGTTTTCTTATATCATAAAGATTAGCCTTTAAGCACAGTTTTTAAAGCTCCCAGGACATACTTAATTTTTCCATTTGGCTTTGTTTTATCCATGTAACTTTTAAAATTTAATTTGTGGCTTGTACTACTTGATATTGTTCTGCAGGAAGATTTAGGTATATATTTTTTAGATCAAGTAAAGCAAGGAACAGAAGCTTCCCTCTAGTTTATAGGAACAGATGACAGAATTCTAGAAAGCTTACCAAAAATAGAGATCTTTGTTTTAGTCCTGTGTTTTTGGGTGGGTGTTTTTTTTTTTGTGGTTTTTTTTTGT